ATAATTTAAACACAATTTATTGTAAAATAACGATGTAAAAATATTAAAATTAAATTTCAATTATTATTCCAACGACTGTATAGCAGAACTTAAAAAAGGTCGAAAAGATTTGATTTCTAACTATAGGCCTATAGCAATTCTTAATGCTGTAGCTAAAATATTTTAAAATATTATTTACGAAAAAATGTTCTGGTACGTTAAAGAAGCCATATCACAGATTCAGCATGGTTTCTATCGAAATAGATCCATTGACAAAAACTTGTTTTCTGACAAATACCTCAGTGGTCACCAATCAGGGCGGGCAGATAGATGTTGTGTACACAGACTTTGCCAAAGCCTTTGACAAAGTTAATCATGCTATCGTATTGCGTAAATTAACAGCATATTCATTCAGTAAGCCTTTCATCAAGTAATTGTCTAGTTATTTACTGACAAGGAAACAACTCGTAACATTTCGTGGAAAATTTTCTAGAGAATGTTTGGCAAAGTCATTATTTCCACAGGGATCAAACCTCGGCCCTCTGCTATTTTTGCTTTTTATAAACGATTTGTCGGATAACATGCTAAGTGAGTGCTTACTTTATCTGGATGATTGCAAAATATTTAGGAAAATTAATAATCAGGATGATCAAGATCAACTACAACAAGATCCTAATAAATTGTATAATTGGACAATAAAAACAAACTTGACCTTAATTTAAATAAATGCTTTATTGTAAGCTATACAAAAGTAAACATATAGGTAAATACACATATATTGTAAATAATCATATCCTTGCAAGAAAAACTGAAATAACTCATCTTGGGGTAATTTTTCAAAGTACATTAAATTTTAATGAACATATTCAGCAAATCGTACATAAATAAAAAAAAATGCTTGGTTTTCTCAAAAGTTCAGAAATATAGAAACAAAGTGCTTTATTCCTCTTGAATACGAAGTAGGCTGGAATTTGCAACAATTATATGGGATCCTGGGGTATTAAACTTGAAAAAACTTCTTGAGACTGTCCAAAATAAATTTATTGCCTATCTGCACTATAAAAAATTCGGTTATTCGCTTGACCAAACCTCTTACGAAATAATAAGAAAGGATTTTAAATTAGTCAAATTAGAAAAACGAAGAATTAACCATAAGTTATTGTTTTTGTATAAACTGCTAAATAATAAAATAAATTATGAATTTTTACTATCGAAAATTAAATTCTATATCCCAGGTCATGTGGTTCGGCCTAAGAACAAACTTTTCTTTATAACAAAACACATGCTGCTATATAATAACCACAATATACCGTTAAATCTGGATATATTTAACACATCACTTAAAACTTTCAAATCGCACCTGTTAAAATTAGAACTTAAATAGAGATTTAAATATTATACATAAAAAAAAGATTCATTGTAAAATATGCCTACCTAACGACGTGTACATATATTATTTATATTTCTAATAGAGCATTGGTAGATGCTAGTAGTTATAAGTTTCTAAGTTATTTTTGTTTTTGCACTTATACTCGTATATATATTTTTTTCTCTTTTTTATTAACCTAAGGATGGGAGCATTGGTAAATGCATTTAGTTTTAAGCTCATTTTTCTTGAGAGAACATGTAATGAGGTTACAAAACCTGTTCCTTTTCTGTTAAATAAATAAATAAATATACTTTTGACTGGTGTAGAAATTTTACAAATCCATAAACCCGTACTTTTACAAACTATATTTGAAGAGAAATTTCGAAAACTTCTACAAGGAATGACTCTCACTTGTCACATAAATTAGAATTTTCCTCATACGACATTTAGGAAATCCTCACGCCTACCAAAAGAACTTCCACCTAGTTACACGTAGCTACTGCACACCACACTCTTGAAACAAGACTGATCAAGGATTACAGATAACAAAAACCGATTAAACTATACCAAAATACCAGAAATAATACTGAGAATTGATCTCCTGCCGATTGTGTATATTTTTAATAGCCAAAAAGAGTGAAATAGATAACATTATAAAAAGAAAAATTATTCTCCCTGGTATAATGGCGCTATTATAAATTTAATTCGCAAAAAATCCAAACTTTATCGACAGTATAATAGAGATAATGATATTCATGCTTTTGAGGATTTTAGAGGCAAGTTAAAGTTGATGTCGATAGAGCCTATACAATACAATACAATACAATATCTTGAAAAAGCTAAATCAAAAATATCGTTTAATTCCAATAAATTCTGGGCTTACATCAATAATAAAAAATGCTCCAATAAAGTTGGTAATACCATGATCTATGAAGGTAACCTTCTTCTTAATCCATCAGATATCGTCGCCTTACTGCCAAAAGTGACCAAGTCAAAAAAATCTAATTTTTGTTTTTATCGACCAAATCACTTAAAACTATTTACTCTATATCTAGAAAAATTGACTAAGCTAGTAACTAATTTAAAAAAAGTTTGGATATTTATAACATTTGATTTAAGGTCACTAGTTTAATGTTTAAAACTGTTTATCTCAAAAGTTTATTTTTCTGGCAGTAAGCCGACGATATATTAAATGGCTTTGCTACCTTTTTTAGTAAATCTTATGTGCAGTCTTCAGCCACAGTCCCGATAAACGAAAACCACATGTATCACTTAAACATTACTAACTTTTTAGAATACCAAGTATTAGATACTTTAAAATCAGTAAAGCCGAAGCGGACCAAAGCCGAAGCGGACCACTGGGCCTGACCATATTCCTGCTTTCCTTTTAAAAGACTGTGCTATAGCACTGGCTCATTCTTTAACTGTACTTGTAAATCCGGACTTAAACCATAACGTCAGTGTGGAAAGAGTCTAAGGTTTGTCCCATATATAAAAATGGAAATAAAACTGAGGTGGGAAATTATCGCCCTATCTATACACCTGTAACTTTAGTAAAGTGTTTGAAATGTTGCTGGAACGTACAGTTTACCAACACGTCCGCAACATAATATCAGATAGACAACATGGCTTTGTAAAAGTTCGTTTAACAGTTACAAATCTTTCCATAATTACGAAATATATTTCAGAACACATTGATAACCGAACTCAGACAGATGTTATTTATACGGATATAAAAAAGGCATTTGATCAGCTTGACCACGGTATTTTGGTAAAAAAACTATCCTCTTTTGGACTTTCAAACAATCTTATTCGGCTTCTTATATCATATCCCACAAACAAAACACAATACGTTCAATCATCAAACATTTAAAACTTGAAGCTGAAAAACGAAGCTGGCTGTCACATTTAGCATATAGGCGATTACCTAAGTGACGCGCTCTACTGACTACGTACTCGTATAAGTATAAAAATTGTTTAAACTTTACTTGTTTTCCTTGTAAATATAAAAAAACTCTAGTTGATTGCCGTTATTTACAGGGTTCGGAGGATATATATCACGATATATATCATGATATTTATACCTTGATATATATCCGATATATTCAATAATTTTATTTATTAAATTAAAAATGTTTTCCACTATTCTGAACATCTGCAAATGGCTCAATACGCTTCTGTATAAAAGTATAATAACTAGTGTTTATATGTGTTTGTGTTAAAATATTAATGTTAATAAAATAATGTTAAACTTCTTTTTAATTTGAGTTAGAATAAACGGTTTTCTTGTTTAGAATATAGATTTTTGATAGTATGTTTGTGTTAAAATTTAAAATATAGTTTGGGCAAGAAACAATACTGTTTTTTAATTAAATAATTAAATTTTAAAAATGATATATATCAGATATATATCCGATATATATCAGATATATGTCATGTGATATGATATTTATATAAATATCATGATATTTTCGAACCCTAGTTATTTATCGATTTTTCACAAGAATCACTAATTTTTAATTATATTTTATATTAATAACTAAAACTCATTTTAAATAATAAAAAAAATAGTCAACTTGACATTAAGTAATGAATTGTAATTGATAGAAAACAAAGAATGGATATAATTATATATTATATTCGTTCAATAGACTAATATCGTCCACATATTTATTATGTATATCGTGCAAAACTTAGAAAAATAAATACTATACCTACATGTGGATGCAGAATTTTTTTTCGCTTACCTGTATTGAGGATCTATATCAGATTATTTGTTAATTCTGTAATCGTGCACAACGCCAAACACATCTGTTTTCTATTCAGTCTCAGTCTGTTTTAGTTTTTAGTTTTTAGTTTACAATCCGCGACAAGTCAAAGCTTGAGTCGGCCATTCGCGCCGGCGTAGTTTGGTCTCTAAAAGGATCTGAGACTGATATTGATGATTCGAATACGAATCCTTTAGGATTTTCTCTGCGAATCCGGATCACGGATCCTTTTTTTCTAAAGTATTCGAATCCCGCTCTCGGATCCTCAAAAAGGATTTGAATCCTGGATTCGAATCCTATGTAATTCGAATCCTCCCCAGCTCTGGTACACGTTACCTAATTAGAGGCTTTTCAAAGACGGTTTCTAAAATATTTAAGTTTCCGAGAAGACCAAGTATATGCTTCAATTGACACCCCACATAACGAACTAGTTTTTCAAGTCTGAAGCAAGGTGCAAGTATTTTTCAGTGGTTACACTGCACAAAGTCATAACCAACAAAATAAATTGTAAAGACCTGCTGCATATGTTAAATTTTAGGATTCCCCGCCAAACTTCTAGGTGCAATGATACTTTTTACTTGACCACTCCTCGCACCAACGTTTTAAGCAAATCTTCATTATATGTGTAGTAATTGCAACAGCATTCACTCTGAATTATATTTAACATTGAAATTTTGGACATAAAACATTTGATTTTGTGATTGTTTTATCGTTTTAAATAATCTGTTTTTTCTTTATTAAATCTTTATTCTTTTGTGTTGTAATTTTTACATTGTATTTTTCTGAGATATTTGTTTTGTCATATTTTACCTGTTCTTTAATTGGGTATTTCCTGTAAAACAGTTTGTAAAAATAAATAAATAAATAAAATTATTTTATTTTAGGAATTGTTGAAAATAGACTGTTTTTAAGACCTCTTCCAGATGTACCAAAAATTTTCCATGCTGATCACCCATTTACATATTACATAGAAAAAGATGGTATCATCCTTTTTGGAGGACATATTGAAAACTAGTTACTAAAGTTTCATAAATAATTTTACTCTTATTTTTTATAAGCTTAATAAAGAAATTGCATGTTTTTAAATGTTTTCATTACCTTCAAAATAGCATAAAATGTCGATATAAGTAAAAGAAATAGTCCATACAGTAAATTTTAGGTTTTTTAAGTGCCTTTCAATTATTACTATTAATTATTACAATTAAAACAATATTGTATTTTCACAAAACGTATTCTAGAAACAATTTACAGGGTTCAAAACTGCCAAGTAATTACAAATACACTATTTCTTCATACAAAACCTAGTGCATGAATTACAAAATAGATGGTAATGGTTGAATATTGTAGTATTATTAGTAAATATATTATTAGTATTAATGTTGCAATACATTTAAAATGTGTTTTTATAATGGTACACCAATGTAAGTACCTAGTAGGTATTTTGTAATTTAGCTGTAGGTACCTAGATAATAACAATAGTAAGTATAATTAATGATTTAATTTTATAACTTTAAAAATATATTTAATATATTTCTAAAATTGTTTAGTAATTTATTAGATTTATTTTCACATATTTAACTTTTAAATAATTGAAGCAAGGCACTGACATCCAAAAAGAGATGATAAAGAAGATTTATTTATAATTCGAAAATATTTACTTATTTGACGTTATACTGCCTTTATTTTTCTTATTCGCCTAGCTTAATATTGCGTAATATGCTTCATTAACATCGCCAAATAATATATTCCTTGTGAAAATTTAGATTTTTAAAATATCCAATATTTACAACAATAATTTTTCAATTTTTTATTTTCTATATTTACTGCTAATTAAATATTTTTGAAGTAGAATACCTATATGAAATATGTTTTTTTAAATATGGAAAACAAATTAGTTTTGTTTTTTTTTTCAGTTATTGGAATACCTCTCTCATTGGAATATCCACCTCCTCCGAAACCAATTAAGTACTATGTCGATCGTCCTTTCTCTTACTACATTAAACAAGATGGTGTAGTTCTATTTGCTGGTCGTGTAAATTTCTAATGTCTTCTATATAATACAAATAATATATTTTATACCACATTTATATAATCTTTCTTAATAAAAATGTGTTTTTTATGAAAGTTATATTCTATTATCCAACCTTAAGGAAGCAACAAAAAAAAATTGGATTGTGGGATAATTCTGGCACTCAAGAATGTTGTAGCCCCTAATTCTTTGAACAGAAACTACTATTGATGCAAACTTCTATATCTCATTATTAAATTGAGTACGGTTTTAATTTTAATTGTAAAAAGTATATATATGAAAGATGTGATAAGATTAGAATAATTTGTAAATATCTAATAATTTTGCTACAAATAAGTGAAAGCCTTATAACAAAGAAATAGTAACATAATGTAGTCGTAGAAAAATTCTTCTGTGTAAAACTTCGTTGCTGATTTTTGCCCTTAATATACAAAAAGCTATTCCAATTTGAGTTAAAAGGTGTAAGTACTTATTAAACTTTATTTCAGGGTTAATTAATATACTTCCTAGACCAGCACTACCACCAGCGCCCCCTGTGGAATTTTACGTAGACCATCCATTTATCTATTGGATAGAATTAAAGGGGGCAGTTTTGTTTAATGGAAAAGTTGTATATTTTTAAGTTTAATTAATTATATTTACAGATTTGTCAAGTAAATAAAGCATTTTGAGAAAGTAAATAGTGCATTTTAAATTATTAACTAAAATATATCTGGGAAATTTTGTAGAAAAATTTAAAGCTGCATCCACAGGAACACTGGAATGAGATAATATCCGGTTCGAAGGACCATGTCTAAGGCAGACTAGAAATTTTCTACACACGGGAAATTAAACGCCGACTAAATAAACTAGACTCTCTTCCACTATTGAAAACACAAAACAAATACTTTTTATCAAAATTCATCAATTAACGAGAGCCCTCTGTTTAATTAGCCCCTTTTAGTAACCAAACATGTTAGAGCCATTTACTATCAAAGCGTATTTGTTGAAAATTATTAAAGCGTAGAAATGCAACAATAGTAATTTACATAAGTCCGGAAAATACTCTTTTTGGGCAAGTAGACAAGTAAAGAAATAATTAGTGATAGAAACTATACATTTTTATTAAAAAAAATCCTTGGTATTATCTGTCCTATATTAATTTTATTAGGTATATTTATTTATTCAGGCACAAAATATTGTCATACAAGCAATTTTCGACCAGTCCGGTTATGCTCTAATCCCTTAAGTCCCTCTCTGCCTTATTTGAGCCTTTTATGATCTCTATTTTTTCCGTTACCAAGAATATTCGATGAAACTAGTAACTTCGGAAACCCCCCCTTGATATGCCTATAAACACTCTTAGTAGAAATTCTATATTGTTCTAAAATGACGACGAAGGTCCTGTAGACATCGATTGTGGTGGAAGCACTATTCTAGAAAATGGTGAATCCGAATGTAAATTCTGGCGACTGTGCGATTGTCTATAATGTTCATGAAAGTTTTAGAGGGTGGCACAAAATTAATCGAATACATTTGATCGAAAAACATTTTAATGAATAAAAATAGAAAAGAAAAATGATCGTGAAGAACAATGATCGAAAATAGGTTTGAAAGAAAAAGCAATTAATCAAAAACGAAACATGTATACATAAAATTAGAAAAAAATAAAAAATCTCAACTAATTTACCTAACCTGTGCGACCTAGAGACATCGCTGGTTGCTTCGCAATAAAATATACAAGGAATGAAAAAAAAAAAAAATAAAAAAATAAAAACAACCAATTTACCTTACCTGTGCGAGAGCAATCATTTAATTTTAAATGGCTCCAGGTTAGGTAAATTATATTTTTCTAATTTTATATATTTTGTATATATTGTATATATTTTTTGCAAAGTAACCCTCGACGGCTCCAGGTAGGCACAAGTTAGGTAAATTAGTTGTTTTTTTATAAAAAAAGCTTTATTAATTTACCTAACCTGTACGAGAGCAATCAGTAAAATTCAAATGGCTCCAGGTCGCACAGGTTAGATAAATTAGTTAAGTTCTTTTAATTTTTCTCATTTTTGTATTTTTTGCGAAGTTACCCTCGACGGCTCCAGGCTACACATCGTAGGTAAATTAATTGAGTCTTTTATAAAAAAAACAACCTAATTAATTTACCTAACCTGTGCGAGAGCAATCAGTAAAATTTAAATGATTCGAGGCCGCACAGGTTAGATAAATTGTAAAGGTTTTTTATTTTTTCCATTTTTGTATAATTTGTTTGCGAGGCAAACCGCAAAAGCACAAAAAAACCTTTAAATAATTTACCTAAAATGTCCCATCGGAAGACAAATCGACTCAACCGAAATAAATATTTTGTGCGAATTAATCACAATGTCTTAATCTAAATGACGGTATAAATAATGGGATAGCAGGTAAATTGTTCGAAAGCAATTGTTCGAAACCATTTATTCGAAAAGCAGTTATTCGAAAGTCATTTGTTCGAAATCTGTTAATCGAATTGAAATTTTTAAAATTACCAAATTTTCTTAAACTAATAAATCATTATTAAAAAATAAAAGAATAATACAGGTTTTAAGAGTTTAATTTTAAGTAGGTAGACATAAATACAAAATATAAAACTAATAACTTACATTATGCGCTATCCCTCTAAGGTATTCTACAATTGTGGTTTTGTCAAAAGTTTCTACAATACCACCTAGTATTCTTTGTGCACAGTCCTTATATATTTTTTTGAAGTTGATGGAGGTGCTACTGCTACGTAGATTAGATTAGGAGTTGGACGTTATTTGTCCTTGTCCACCGCGACCTTTTCAGATCTATTGTGGGACTCCGTTTGTTTTAGAGTATGTCGTCTAGCCTGGTCTTTTTTATTAGACTTAGTAGCTTTGACAGTGGCTCCCGCATGTAGTTGCATGCAATTGGCTTTTCTTCGCCCAATGTTAGAAACCTCAAAGCCTTTACATTGGCACAGGACGTGGAATGATGTTTCCTCTTCTTCTTCACAGAACCTGCACAAAGTTGCTTCTTCTGCTGGATTTATGACACTCATATGCCTTTTGCGGCGACAGTGTCCAGTAAGAAGGCCTACTGTTATCCTAACGATTTGACGTTTTTGATCCAGTAGGTCTTTCGTAAACTTGGCCGATGGTTCCTTGATGAACTGTTTGGCCTGTCTCAGTCTTGGATAGTTGTTCCACCATTCCTAAGACTCTTTTTGCATCCATTATTCAATGGATGCCTTACAAAATGCCTTAGCAACTCCACAAAAGGGTTCAGGGCCTGTCATGGCCTTATCTGAGCCTTCTCGGGCTAATTCGTTGGCCTTTTCGTTGCCCTGATATCCCTCATGGCCTGGAACCCAGGCTAAGGTCACCTTATTTTGACTACTTAGCTCTATCTAATCTAATCTACTGCTACGTACTGCTCCATTCTTAAATGGTAAATGAGTGTTCTCTTTTTACGGCATCAATAAATTTCCAGATACTAGGATGGCTAGCTGCATTCTGGCTTTCGAAGCTTCTGTGCCAACCCTCTACGGCGTTATTAGTTTTAGCTAACCCTGTGATAGCAGCATCGAAACAATTCCACATAATATGAGGAAATTTAGGGGTTCGTCTTGTCTTGTCTCGTCTCGAACGAGACGAGAGGGACATTTTCTCTCGAAATCAGATTCGAGACGAGACGAGACGAGAGAGTGTCATCTCTCGACGAGAATTTCTCGTTTCTCTCGAGCTTCAATTGCTTATCGTAACTTAAAATTTTATCATATTGGATTAGATTTAGTCAAAAAATTAACTATAACACACCTATTCTATATATAAGAAATGGTAATAAATTATATGTGTTATTAGGATTTTATAAATAGTAATTTATAAGAAAAAAAAAAATTCTCATTTCATTTATTTAAAATTTATACAATCATTTCTTATATTTAATCCATTCTGCTTTTCTGAGGTTACTTTTGAAGATAAGTTGAACATTTTTAAGCGCTTTTTCTAAAAACTGTCAAAGAAAAGGTAATACAAACGAATGTATTATATACAGTGAGGAAGAAAATTGTACCCTCCTCTATTTTAACTTCTAAATTAAAAAGGATAATGAGAAAACAAAAACGAGGTAAAACCAAGAGATATTATATTTTTGTTATAACGAGATGCACTTTACTTGAGATACGTAACATAGAGAGAATTACTAGCTTTAAATTTTCTAATGGAAAGTAGGGTCATGTGATACCTTATTTGAAAGATAGTTTCTATATTTTTACATTCATGTAAACAGATTTGGATTTTTATGTTTTTACACAAACTACATTAAATAAATTCATAAAGTAGGTTAAATTCTTTTTTTTTTATTTATCGCTTCAACCTCAAAGGATCATTACCGGAGGTACAATACCTTATAAATGCTGTTTTTTACAATAGTATACAATGGATAATTAACATTTTAGCTAGTACAGAGTAAATGTCAGTATCTTTTATAAATTTAAGTAATTTTTTTCTGTTAGAGGGATTTAACACTGCACAAATGGCAATTTTTGTTCGTATACAGACATGTATACTAATAAGTTACATTCTTAACTGTCGTATAAACAATTATTGTTTATTACTAAGGAAACGCTTCTTGTATTTACTAAAATAAATAACTTCTTGGCAAAACATTTCTAAGATTATTGCGGCACACGAAGATTATCAAGAATGTAATTTTTGTAAAAACAAAAAAAAATTAAAACTGTGCTTGGACGTAAATATAATAATATCTTTCAAATGAGGTATTACATTACTTTACTTTCCATTAGAAAATTTAAAGATAGTAACGCCCTCTATTTTACGTCTTAAGTAAAGTGCATTTCATTATAACAAAAATATATTGTTTCTCTAATTTCACATCGTTTTTGTTTTATGCCCTATCTTCTTGCATTTTGAAAACATACCACAAAATGCTTTCATTTGACATCGCAGGATTGCATTAGAAAAATTTTAACTTCCAATTTAACCTCTTCTCCCCTTCCCAACTGACTTACAAAACAAAGTATTTTTGTTTTTTGTTAACGCCTAATCTGAGCCACTAAATTACTTCAAATTTCAATTGTAAAACGACTGTGACAGACGGACAGACAGAGAGACATAAGTGCTTCTTATTGCCAAATTTGGGTACATTAGTACCCAAATTTTTCAAGTAATTTGCAAATTAGTGCACATTAGTGCAAATTACTTGAAAAATTCTTTGTTTTTGTCTTACAAATTTTACCGTTTTCTCATGTTTCGTCTTTTTCAAATTTAAATTTGATATTGTTTTATCACGAGAGAAACGAGACGAAACGAGACAAGACGAGAGAAAGGCTCTCTCGAGCCAGAGAAGCGCCTTCTCGTCGAGACGAGAGAACAGTTTTCTCTCGCCCTACGAGACGAGACGAAAGAGGCCACTCTCTCGTCTCGTCTTGTCTCGCGGCATCACTAGTCGCTTCTCTCTTCTGTCTGCACGACCTATCCATGTGTCCTCGAAATAATCAATAACCGGTAAGGCTTCATCTGGAAGTAGACATATGTCCTGTAACTTGTTATTCAATAAATTCAACTGGAACAAATGCTATGGCATTTAGCATCCTTATATGCAAAGCAAATTCTGCGTCTGTATCATATCAGTTTTTTAAGCCGGATGTTTGGATTTTTCCATACAGACACTGGCAAAAATGAAAGAAACATCCTCTTATTGTAGCTTCTGGAAAGGTTATGCACAATGCGCTCATCGCTGCCTTTTCAAAATCTATTAAAACTGTAGTTGGTGCAGCTGTGTGACAAAGGTTCTTGATTTCTTGTATCATTTTTGTATACGTACTCTTTGTTTTATCGGGAAGAAGTGCATACAGTAGCGGAATGGTGTAATTTTCTTTCAATCCGTGGATGGTGTATAATTGTGCAAACAAATGGGGTACTGTTTTAAAAGTTCCGTCCCTAAACCAGTGATCTGACTTTTCCAGAATATTAAACAATATAAAATTCTGGAATGGGTGGCTCCAGAGTCGAATCGAAGAAAAACTCTCTCGTCTGGATTGTGGAATAGCAGGTGCGCTGTCGTTTCCCTGCCTGATGTTTCGAATGGTCCGTATTATGTTATTGATATCTGGCAAACGTCCTACTGAATAACTACTCACTGCTGGTGAGTGAGGAGAAATTATGTATTGGGTCGTATCTTGTGTAGTTTTAGCACAATTTGGTGACCTCAAGTCGGGCAGCGTCTTCAATATGATTGTGTTCTCCGGGTCCTTTTTGAATACCATCTCGGTCAGTTATAACTTGTGCTCTACACTTATATTTGTGGAAGTATTCACATTTCCAATATATTTTGCTGTCGACTTGTTCATCTTTGACAAATATAAAACCATTAATAACTAGCTTACGATTTACTTTTTCACTCAGAACAAACTCCATTTTTACATTGAAAACAATACCAAAGCGAAACAGATACTACTGCAAAAAAAGTGTTGTCTTTTATTTATAGTAATTTAAACAGACTTTATTAGTGCCTATTTTTCAAAACATTCTTATGAGGGCACTTTATTAATAATCATTTTCTATAATACCCTTAATACTGTTTATTGTTTTTTAGTAGCTAGACCGTAAATCTGGGCTGATATTGTTTACAATTGATTTGAATTGTTGAATAGAAATTATTTTTCAAAATACTCTTATTAGGGCACCAATATTGACCTTTCAAATAAATGCTATTCGAATAATTTACTTTCGAATAATTGATCTTTCGAATAATTGACTTTCGAACAATTGATTTTTCGAACAATTTACCTAGACCCAAATAATCGTTTTCCTCTGAAAATATTAATTTGTAAATTAAAAGTATTAAGGACAACATTTTGTTAAATGAGGCAGCTATCGAACTATTTTTCATTAGTACCTAATTTAACGATAGTCACTAAGTTTAGTTTCCCCGGTAATAGGAATTAGACGGATGGTTGGATGGTGTTGTTTTTTTTATATTTTACTATTTTAAATGTTGATTTTCGATATATTGTCCTTTCGATCTAATGAATTTTAGATCTATTGTCTTTTCGATAAAATGTTATTCGATAAAATATATCTTCGTTTAAATGATGTTATTCAATAAATTCAATTTCATACGATAATAGCTTTTTGTGTATTAAGAGCGAAAAGTGATACTTTGCCGATTGAGACAGAAAGTTGGCCGCGCGACGCGTAGCGGAGCGCGGCAATCTGTCAAAAGCGGCAACGAACTTTTCACTCAAAATGCACACAAGATAATTTCTACGATCACATTATTTTTAGAAATAAATATTTAAACTGAAAGCACTAGTGCTTAAAGTATATTTCTTTGCGCACTAGTGTGTATAGAAAGTTTAATTTTTCGTTCTAATTATAACACTTTAGTTTGTAATAAAATATAAACAAACTAATTTAATATACATATTTTCACCAAATTAAAACAAATTAACTAGTTGTTATTATTTAGTTATTAATAATAAAACGACTTAACTAGATTAATATGGAATTGAATATAAGTTATTTAATTAGTAACAATATTCAGGGCCAATATGAAGGGGGGGTAGCCGGGACCAATTCCAGGGAACCGGGCTCAAGTAGGGGCCCGGCAGCGGCATAAGGGGGGCACGGCAACTTTTTGAGCGGTTCGGCGGAGAAGTTTTGCTTGAAGACCTTTTTTTAGAGAGATTTAGTGAAGAGGAGGAGAAGGTTCAAGACCTTATTTTTTAGAAATGCGATATTAAAAAGGGCCTAATTTTTTATAAAATTGTCGCGGGGCCCAATCTGGAGAATTTTCCCGGGGCCCGACCTGGCTCTCGGCGGCCCTGACAATATTAATGTGAAAAGTGCAGTTTGTGCACTTGTTAAAACTTAATCCTTTAGCTTGTTCCATGCTAGAGTTTACTGTGGTTTCAGAAACTGATGACGTAGCATTACTAACAACATTAACATTAGGTAATAAGTTGTTTAAATTACACAGATCGCCAAAACTTTTGGTCCCCCTTATGTATATCAAAATGAGACACTATTATTAAAAGTCAAGAAGTGCGTTACATAGTACTTTTAATTTGTTATGTATCCAATACAAATTGAATTAAATTTTAACTAAACAAGAAAAAAAATACAAACGAAATATAGTGCATAATAAAATGATTACTAGAATTTGAATTCCAGAAGAAAACCACTTTCGAGCGAAATCAAAAATTCATTAATATTCGGTGTGTTCTCCTCTGTTCTCTAGTAAGGCATTAACTCGCCTGTGCATGGAAACAATAAGGGTGTTAATGTAATCCATTGGTATGTTGTTCCATTCTTCTGTTTGAGATTGCTCTTCCAACGAAATCCCACATGTGCTCAATAGGATTCATGTCTGGCGAATTTGCTGGCCACGGTAATCTTTTAATATTATGAATTGCTAGTGCGTTTTGTACCCTTCTCGTGCATTGTCATCAATAAAAATAAAGTTAGCTTCAATTTCATTACGGAGAGGATAAATAATGGGTTCAATAATGTTTCTAACATATCTATCGCCTGCCATAGTGTCTGGAATAGGAATAAGCTGCGTACGACGACCATGCATTATGCCTCTTCAAAACATTACTGTACCTCCTTGGTATGGAAAGACTTCTTTGGCAAAAGATAGTCTTTCTGGTCGCCCTGGCCCTCTCCAAACTCTGTGTCGCCGACTAACACTAATTAAACCATATCTGGTTTCGCCCGAAAAAAGAGCATTTCGCCACTGATCTAAGAGACAGTCTCTGTGTTCCTGTGCCCACTGTAGACGAGCAGCTATATGTCTGGGAAGTAACCTGGGTACTCTTAATGGTCTCCTAGATCGTAAATTGGCTCCAGGAAGTCTCTGTCGTATTGTGGTACTGAAAATGAATCGACCATACGTTCTTCTAAAATGAGTTCGGACAGCATATAGAGGTTCCACGTGAATGACCAGGGTCAAAACCGACAACTGACATTTTTTATGCTATTTGCTCCAAACTCTAGATGGGGTTACTGGTGAAATTATGATTTCTTCTTCCATTTTTATTTTTTATGGGTGAAAAACTTAACCAAAGAATCCAAAGATATGACGTGTATTTATTGTTTTTGGTTATTCTTTTCTGTTTGATTTTAGAGATTTTTTGTTGGCTTTGGCTTTTGGTTTCTGTTTCTGTTTATAGTTTCTTCTTAGTTATTTGCAAAAATGTGTTGTTTTGTTTTTCTATTTCCTACTGTGTTTTGAAATAATTTTGGTGCTACGTTGAAAACTTCGAGAAAAACTTCATTGATTCACCATGCATCATAAAAAGACAAACAAACAACTAATTGATAATCAATTTATCACTGTAGATTCCCAAATCATTTTTTTACATAAGAGAGTAATACCACCATCTGTATTTGGAAGGAAAATACCTATTTATCATTGAATAAATAGTTAAAAGGATTCACCTTTTAATCCAATACCTATATTACATTTCTCCTCGGTTAAAAAGACGTTTATAAAATATATTACTTTAGTGTTAATAAAATGTAATATCCTAGTCTCTACTTCACATTTAAATTATTGATATTTTAAAGATTTGAGATTGTATACCTATTTGCTCCAAGTAAGCATTCGTTAAATATGTATTATTATTTGTATTTATTTTTATCTAATAATATTTATTTAAGTTAATAATAAACATATTTTAAGAATGTTCTATTTTATTATTTATTGATATATCATATTTATTTAATAATAAAATGCAGAACCAACTCTCCACATCAGACCCCTTATAACAAATTAATTCCTCAAATTTGGCATAATCGACATAAATTATTTTGTAAAATAAAATTTTCGAACTTACTAGTTCCATACTTTATTTTATAAAATAATTTATGTGGAAATCATTTAAAATTTCATTTAAAACTACTACCTACTACTAAAAATTACAATTTGAATTTACCGCCATCTGTCAATTGTCATTTTAGTTCCTGCTCCAAACACAAGGTGGCGCTAAGTTGGTTTAAAAGTTTAACATTGGCGTGGGATCTCTAGAAGATACGTGCTTTGTGGCTGAGACTGTTACGGTTCGATTCCGACGTACATAACCTGCTACCTGCATACCGATCTTCTCTTGGAAGATTACCCTAGGACGCCCAGTCCCACGTTTCCAGTCAACGCTGTTAGTTTCCTGATACAAACACACTATTCGGATAACTGAAGCACGGGGAATCCCTAGTGACCCTAGTCTATCTGCGATTCGATGATTCCGCAGACCCTCATCATGCAAAGCCACTATTCTTGCTCTATTGAACACTGAAATTCTATTGCCATATAGTTGCAAAGAAAAACTCAACAATCACTTAAACACGCAAAATCGATATGTACCACTTTTTAAACATTGGTACCAAAAATTGTGGGAAATTGTTTTTGTAAAGATAAATAAAGATTAAATGTATAAAAAACCAACCATGATAAATATTTCGTTTTAATATTTACGAGGGGATCCAAGAATTTCGGCGATGTGTGTATTATAGCTAAGGTTAGTTACTTAACATGAAGAATTGCCAATAACGTTGCTATCTTGCGTCACGGTGCTTGGGAACCAACTTTAAATGAAAAGTTTATTTACTAGACTTTTTTTTCGGTCAAAGTATTTCTGAAGGGCCATAGATTGGCGCAATATATTTTTTAAAATCGGTTCCAGCAGCCGTTTTTGAGAAAACTCGATTTTTAATGAAAAAGTGACCTTTTTTTTTAGTTTTTTTGCTTGTAACTTGCGCATTTCACATTTTCTCGGCTTGCCAAAAGTAAATTTCAATGGGAAAATGTCCGCTCTACAAAAAAGCATCAATGACTTTTTTCTCTAAAATCAGCCGATTTTGAGTTAAATGAGATCTCTTATTATATACACTAATAGGTATTTTCTGAATTGAAATAAGTTTTGATGTATGATTAAACCAAAAAACTAAAGCAACTAATTTATAATATTTTTGAATATTGATATTATTCTTGATTTTTAAAATTAAAATGTCAAATTAAATAAAGAAGTGTCAGTCATCCATAGCCAACTTAGCTGGATCATTAGGAACTTAAATAATGTTCGTCAACAGGGGGTCGATTCTCGACTCGTAGGAATTTTTTCCTATAGGAATTTTTGACATTTTTCTACACATCGGAAATTTATGACATTTGTCTACATGTAGGAAAGTGTCACAAATTCCTATAGGAAAAGGTTCCTACAAGTCGAGAATTGACCCCCAGGTAATAAGATTTCACAATAATTTTTATTGGTATAATATTTAAACTGGATTAAAATTACCATAAAAATATATGATTAAATTGAAAAAAATTAAATTACATATTTAATATACTCATTATTATTTTTATAAGAACTGTCAATACAAAAACTTGTTGTTCTGTAGTCAATACACTCAAA